TTTTCAAAGCCATTGTTGGGCTTATACGTTTGCCAGTTGGTACTTTCAAGAAAGAAGACTTCATTAGTAACGAGCAGCAAGAAAGAAAGGGTCAATAGAGATGAAGAGTTTGTGTGTTAGGCAAACAAGTGAATTCAAAGCACGAAATAAAAAGGGTTTTTAAACCTTTGTGTCTGAAAAATATACCCAATCGTTTTAAGTAGGTTGAATTCATAAAGAAGTGTTAAAAGTACGAATACAAAAGGTTTCCCTCAATGGTGATAATTTGGGAGGGAAATGCATCTCAAATACTAATATTGGCTTCGAAATCAAACTTTTGGCTTCAAAGCCAAGTTTTGGCATCGAAATCAAGTGATAAACAGCTTCGAAAACAGGAAGTCAACTTCGAAGCACATTTCTCACCTAAGGGTGCAAGAATGCCCAGGCATTTGTTTACTTTAAAACGATTAAAGACCTGTTTTTAGGTTTCTTGATAAAAGTAAAATCCTTCAAAGCAAAATTTGAAATACCTTACGGTTAAAATTTGTTTGTTCTAGGTTTTAAACCAATAGTTGGTTTGGTAATATACAAAAGAAATCACTTTTTTGGAAAAAAAAAAAAGTGCAGTCCTTAAAAAAAGTTTCCATATTTTGGAAAATATAGACTGTTTGTTCGAAGGAAAATTAGTTAATTTGAAATTACTCGATTATATTAACCATATGTTGGGGAATTGGATATGATCAAATCAAGTTTCGAAGGGCAAAATTGGTGAATCCGAAACTCTGATTCTTGGTGAATTCGAAACAAAAAAAAAAAAAAAAAACGGGCAAAAGTTGTCAATTACACTCCATAAGTTAAAAAAGTTCAAATTGGGTTTCCAGTATTTCATTGGGTATGATCGAATCGAGATTCGAAGGATGAAATTGTTGAATTCGAAACCCTAAGTTTGTTTGTCTTTGACTAATGGGGTAAAATCAAACCATGTCAAATAAAGAGAAAACATCTTAACTTTATTAAGACAAAAGCAATTACATCAAAAGCCTTTATTGGCTACATATTCAAGTTCACAAAAATAAGGAATAGAATAAATGACAAGGTCATGAAACTTCTTCTAACTATGGTCAATGAACTTCTGTTCCTTCTTTATTCTATCTTCTACCTTCTCCAGGTTAGGCTGCTGAAGTTGATATGCTCTTACTTGATAAAAAAGTTTTTCGGCCTTTATTTCAAGCTCTGTTTCTTTCAACCCTTGTTCTATCTCATCCATGTCCAAGCCATCCCAGTATGCAGAGTCTTTATTCTTGAAATCATCATATTCATCGATGAGGTTTTCTGCTTCATATCGGGTATGAACTCGACGGGTTGAGATTTGATCCAAAGATCGAGTGGTGGCCATAGAAATGTGATGCCAATGAAGAACAGTGGGAGTTGGTCTAAAAACATTTGGAGCTCTACTTGGGCAATAGGGTTAAGGACATGACCCCTGGTCATAACATCACAAGCCCAGCGAAAGTTCTTGAGAGGAACATCGTCCTCAAGAACATTGAAAGGCAAGTGAAAAAAGGCCGCAAGAAGAAGTTGGGCTTGCTGTCACTGATATTTAGTAGGAGGAGATAGAGGGTGAAACTGGTCCTCAAAGAGAGTAAGTCTCAATTTCTCCATCTAGTGAGGGTTTTGCGGAAGAGAAGGTACAAGAGCTTCTATCTCGAAAGAATGAGGAAATTGGGGGTTGTTGACGATATCAAGCCAGTCAGAAGAACAAAGTTTTGCCTTCTAGGCTAAGAATGACTGGCTATACCCTTGAGCCTTTTATGGGCAACGAGTGGCTCGTACTATCTTCGTAGGCATAGAAGATGTATACCATGCTACGAGTAAGTTATCTTCCAAACGGCGTCGCCGGTCGATGGGTACATATAGGTAAACCACCGAACTTCGAGCAAAGGGAGGGAAAGTTAAAGGATCAACAAATTTGACAAAATGATGATTGATTCGCTCTCTTAACTTGGACTCCTCAAGTTCTGGCCAGCTTCTCCAATCAGAAGCCCCAAAAGAAGAAGAAGTTACAGCCTCATCTCACACAGAAGGTTTTGGGTCAGAGGAAAAGCTTCCAATATTCATGTTTGCAAAATTTTGGGATAAAGAATTGTAGACAATAGGTTCGTAATCCAAAGATTGATAGTTTGCAAAAGCTTCCATGACTTGACTATGGAAAGGTGGGTAAAGGTGACTAATCAATGCATGAAGATTCTTTTGAGGGCGAACAGCATTATCAAACAACTTTTCATATGCTTGATCAAGGTAAGAAACAGTCTACTTGGCCATGAGAGCTAAACTAGTCTTTTTGAATACTGAGATAGTGGGAATGTTCAAAGGATAGAAGAGAATTTAATGCAAATGTTCATTGATAAATGACAGTTGCATTTCTGAAAATGCAAAGTCCATACACGTTCTAAGACGTAAATAAAATACCTTGATCCACTAATATCACCAAGTATTGGGTATATTAGTGCGGGGGGGTAATGTTGACTACATATTTTGTATAGGCTAATCACAGTTCAATACGTGGTAGGATGAGGGCAATACGGGAAGACAATTCAAATCTTCAATCGTAATCACACACGTGGCAGTTAGGCCACGTTTGGCTATCCTAAATAAGTACACACTTTTTATCTTTTTATCTTTTTTTCATCACATCATCTCTCTACTTTTCTGCACATCTTTTCATAAAAAAGACAAAAAGTGCACTTATTTAGGTCATCACAAACAATCCCTTAGTATTGGTTATTGTAGATCTGGATAGCACTAGATCAGTAAAGAGATGCAAGATGACGTGGCTTTAACGGTTACTCATATATTTAAATTCAAAATCAGGATGGAAGCCTAACTGCAGATATGGCATAGTGGAGCTAATTATGAGGAAACATGATCAGTGATCATGGAGGGATGGTTCGACGGTTAGAAACTCATTTCGACGGTTGTCATTGAGAAGTATAAATAGCAGAGAAGGTCCTAGAAAGAAGCCCCAGACTCAGATTCAAGAAACCAATTTTTATCTACTTTATTTTCCTTCCAGTTTTTACATTTCTTGTTCTTTATATTTTTGTACTTAAAATTCCTGCACCACACTTCGTTCATATGAGTAGTTTCAAGTAGTTTGTTGCTGTAAACCTTTACGAGGCTGAATTGGATGATTGTAAGTCTTTCATTTTTATTTAATGAAATGTTACAATTGTTCTTCATTTGATCGTTGTTTGCTTAATTCTCCTAAACAAAGCCACCAGTAAAAGTCCTCTTCATTGAGGCTAAAAGAACTAAAACACAATCGTCTGATAATTGGTTGACAATTAATCTTCTATAAGGACTGATTGATCCTTACTAGCATGCTTAAAATTACAATAATAACCTTCGAAAGCCAAAAAACCAACAATATTCATATAATTTTTGAATTAAAAAATAAATAAATAAAATTTCTTCAAAATCTTCTAACATCTTTACCTAAAATAAAATAAAATAAAAAGATCAATTCAAATTGATCATTGCCTAAAATCAAATTTTCAATTTAAAAAGTAATAATTATTCATGTGTCGTACATAATTTCTGAATTAATCAAACAAATAAATAAAATCTCTTCAAACTAATTTTTCAAATTTTTTGATTTAAGAAATTGAAAAAAAAATTTAATTGGTTAGCCCGTCAAGAAATAAATTTTAAAATTCAAAATTATGAAAACTATCCCATAATTTTTGGGTTTTAAAAGGAGAGAATCACTCAAATATAGGAAAACGGAAAATTATGCATTTCTATTTTTATTTTATTTTTTGAAGTAAATATTTTTAAAATTTGAAATTATATAAAACTAAAGTTATATTTAGAATTTCCTTTATAAGTTTTTAACTTTCAAATTAGATGGCTAAATTTTACTTCTGATATTTTATTTTAAGATTTTTAATTTTCAAATTAGATGACTAATATTTCTATGCCATGTGTATTTACTAAAACTTAAAAATTAAAAAAAATTAAAAATTTAGATTAATGTTTTAAAGCTTATAGAGCATTTTAGATGAAAAATTATCATAATTTTTTATCTCACAACAATGCAATGTTGTAAGAATCAGCTAAAATTAGTAATAGCATGGGAATATATACCGAGCAAAACAAAATCAACAATTAAAAAAAAAAAAAAAGAGAAAAAGATTAATTTAAATTTAATTTTTAATCCAAACAGATTAAAAAAAATTAAAAAAAAAAAAACCAACGCACACACATACATAAGTTTACTGCTTGCATGATTCACTAGTAGCCTTGCAATCTTGAGAGCCTTGCAACCTCGAGTTTACTTTCTTCAATACATAGGTTTCGATAAAAAAATTAAGAATAATCAAAATGGATGTACTATAGGAAGAGGAAAAGCAGGAGAGAATACTTACAGCTTAGTGAATAAGTATCCGAAAAGATAATTGGATTAACTGACAAGAATACATGTCAATTACCACACAAACTCCCAAGCCATTTATTCATAATAAGTGCTCCTCATTATAATCTTCAATTTTGTTGTGTGCTCACGACTCAAGAGCCTATGGAAACTTGAAAACGGGAATTGAAGAAGAGGAAAGGAACAATAAAAGAACCATAAATGAGAGAGGGAATAAAAGAAGGGTGATTTGAGAGAATTTAAAGATATTGTGCCTTTGTTTGGATTTGCTTTAAAATTCAAAAAGTCAAAACAAATAAATATAGAGTGAGAGGAGTATGCCACATAAGAAATAGAGCGAATTTATAATTACAAAAATTCAGAAAAATTAGTTTGTGACTTTAGAGGTATTAAAATCTTTCAAATTAGAAATCCCATTTTCCTTATAAAATTTATAAATTGGATGGCAAAGGCTATAGACTTCCTTGACATGTGGTTATGCTACTGAAGATTGTGTTTCTTTTCTTTTTTTTTTGGAAAAATGAGCTCTTTTGTTCAAAGTTGGTTACCAAAATAGGCTTCACGAATATATTATTGAATAGACATTCCATAAAAAAAAGGATGTGATCTTTCACCTTAAGTTCAAGTATTTACATATATATATATCAGTTGGCATTAACACCCACTACACAATAACAATTATCACATTCATACATCAAAAATACAGATACCAAATACTCAAATCTCATCAATTGAAAACCTCCTGTATGGCTGCCAAAACTCGGGCCGCTACTTCTTCCCCAAACAACCTTGGCAAGCTCGATCCCAAATCAATCTCAATAGTCTTTTTCTTAATCATTCTATCCCTCTTCGCCACATAATCCCTGTCAGCCTCTCCCATATCTCTCTCTCCACAAGCGCACCAATCCAACCATGTGCCCAACACTTCCTTAGCAATCGAACTAACATGATGTCTAACTATCTCTTCCATACGCTCTGTTCCGCCAGTTTCTATGCGGACCAGAATAGCAGTAGGAGAGACAAGAAAACGTATGTAAAGTGACGAGGACGAGTAAGGTCGTACCTCAGGGATTTTCTCGAGTAGTTGTCGGTGTCTGTTTAATTGGGTGGCTTCATAGAAGGTCTGAAGATAGTCTGGATGGAGAACAAGGTCTTTTCGAGGTGGCAGATCGAGTATGAAGACAAGGGATGTTGGGCTGCTCTGGATAAGCTCCATTAAGAAGTTTGGTGCATCAGTTAAAGGAGATAGATAAGCAGAGAGGCTCGTTATGTTCAGTGCTCCTGCTGGTAACTCACAGTGTAGCCAACTTCCCAACATGAAATCAATCTGGTAGACATGGAAATTTTCAGAGGTTTGGACCGGATCGTGCTCATAAATTTCAAGTAGAAGAGAGGAGGACCCAAGAAGGAATAGCCACCTTCATCGTCTGACAATAACAATACTAAAGCTCAGATCATATCATTGCAATTTAACTTCCTTGGCGCATCTCCAGAGAAGGAGTTAAATTTGTGTCAACTGACAAAAAATGGTTAAAGTGGTACTCAAGTTTTTGTGTGAAGTATGTTAATTTAGAGAATGAATGGTTGCTCCAATAGATGTGTAAAAATGAGTGTCAGGTGAGAGTGAGGTCCAATTGAATGTGTCAAATATATAGACTGAATGGATAAAATTTTAAAAGGTACAACCGGAAGGAAAAAAACAAAACTAACAAGTTAATGGGTGACTTGGCCAGCCCAGTTTAACAAACAGACTTCAAACAGACTTGGTGGCTTACAATGCAAATAAGGAAGATGGCATGTCCACTGAAGCAGCAAAAATGGGAAAAGAATAGCTAACTGCTAACTTATGACACTATCCTAGGGGCATCTGCAGACTGCAGTGTATGTATTAGGAAGGTAGTTAGTGTCGGACACTAGTCAAGGTGGTTAGTGTTGGAGACTAGGAAGGTGGTCACAAGTTTGCTTGAATAGTGTCCCACCCAGGTCTGTCAGGTCAAGATGAAGAGGTGGGACCCCCGCTTGACTAGTCAAGCTAGAGAAACCCCATCAACTCAAGGGGACACAGTTTGCCAATTTAGTACTTTTGGGGCTCAATATTATCTCATGGACTAACAACTTATATTCCAAAGCAGCAAAGAATATGTCCAATGCCCTCATACAAAAAAGGGGCAAAAGTAAGCATTTTTGTCAGCTTATCAGCAGCAGCACTAAAATACTCATTTTGCCAAGGCAAAGATGAGAACAATGGCAGCCTGAGAAGAAAAGATACACATCCCAAGGACCAATTTTGAAGATATAGAAAAGCTAGGAGTTACTATATATAATCACTAAATATCAAACTGATGAGTCAAAAAATGCTTGATTTGTGCCTATTACTATTAGCTATATATCTCACTAATACCTGATATTTTTAAGTTGTAAAGTAACCTGCGCACCACTTTCAAGACACATCTAGCTTGATTTTTTTGCCAGAGCTTGTACCACATATTGACTTCTTAAAAACTTTTTGGGTGCTTCCATGTCCATTTATTGCAGTGCAATAGAATGTCACTTGGAACACCATGCTAGCAACCCTGCTCTTGTGACAAAATTCCTTCTTGTCATGCTAATATCTTTACCAATCCCACAATTATCCACAAACCTTATCTTTAGTGAAGCGAATCGCATGCTCGATGAATAATTTATTGAAACCCTGTTGAACCGCTACCTTTCCATTCCATGGTAATACCATTTGGTGTATAACTAAATATACACGAGACAGAGCCATAAAGCCACCTCTAATGTTATCATTATCCTCTATCCTTGCATTAAAGTCTCACTTATCCGAGAAATTATTTGGTGCTCTTGGAACAATGCTCCAATGCCCCCAGGAGCCACACGATCATGTGGAGCCTATCCCAATATGCATGGGGTCCACGCGATCGTGTGACTCCTGAGACTATTGGGACATTACCCCAAGAGCACCAAATAATTTTTCCATTTATCATGTCAACATGACAATGCTCACATGGCTCAAACACTAAGTTTCAAATGGATTAGGATAGAAAAGCACATCCAAATAGGTGGTTGCCTTCAAAGTTGGAAATACTGAATGTGGAGATTCCCAAATTTTGAAGATTAGAGGCAATATAATACAATTTAGCATGTAACACAACTAAAAGAGCAAATGCACTCCAAATGAGGATGCTCCAAATAGCAGGCTTTTTACAATCACAACTCAATTGCCTCATCTCCTTCATGGTTGAGAAAAGGAACCAAGCTACCCAACCTTTCATGCCTCTTCATGTTCAAATTTCACCACATACTAACTCTATAGAGCTTCTTAGCATATGTTGACATTTGAACCAAAATACCCATGGAAGTTAAATCCATTAGTTTGTTTATATCAGACACATACACATGGTTCTAATTTTCAATTCTTGTTAGTTAGCACCCAAGTGGGTGGGCTGAGCAAGACTCACATAGAAAACCCCTAATCTAGCCATGCTATCTTTTCCTATGTGTCCAAGTCCAACATGCCATTTCACATAATTAAGGGCATCTTCATTGTAAGCCACACAAGAAGATGAATAATAATCTAAATCTAACATAAAGAAGCCACTAAACATATAACCACAACCATGCAATGTCTAGCCAGAAAATATGTTTCCAACTTAGGATCAAAAGAGAGAAGTGTGTATACAAATGAGAGTGTTTTGGTAGTTTTTGTTTAGACTCCTCTCTCTCTTGGTGTAGATCTCTAAGGCCACCATCTAAGTTCCGTTCAACTTATGTGGAGCATAGTGAGGCTCTACTAATCTCACTATTGAAGAGTTGGTGTTATACTCGAATGTGTGGAAGGCTTGTAGTCAAGCAGAAGCAATTTTTGTGAATGATTTTGCGAAAGAGGTATATCCATAATTATAATTTAATTGTATTTAATACTTCTAAACCATCGCATGGTTCTAAATGCAAACATACGAGAATTCATAGAAAGAACAAAAGTTGGTTGGTTTTTTTGCAATAATTTCCAAAGAATACAATGCAAACTTGAGGAATCACTAGATATCAAATGGATGAGTCAAACAATACTTGATTTGTGCCAATAACTATTAGCTATTTATTTCTCTAATACTTGATAATTTTAAGTCGTAAAGTATCAACGCACCACTTTTAAGACACATCTAGCTTAAAAAAAAATTGCCAAAGCTTCTACCACATATTGAAATTTTAAAAAGTTGTGGTTGCTTCTATGCCCATTTATTGCAATGGAATGTCACTTGAAACACCATGCAAACAATCATACTCTTGTGACAAAATTGCTTTTCTCATGTTGATTTCTTTACCAATCCCACAATTCATCCAAAAACCTTATCTTTAGTGAAGGGAAATGCATGTTTGATGAATAATTTATTGAAACCTTGTTGGACCTTTCCATTCCATGGCAGTACCATTTGGTGTATAACTCATATACACAGGGAGCCATGAAGACACCTCCAATGCTATCACTATTACTGTGGAGAGCATAATTGTCTCACATTGATTAATTGAGACACTAATGGAGAGATAAGACACACACCATTCCCATATTTGCAAAATAACAAACCATTAGTGCCAACCAGCCCGCGGTTGCCGGCCAGAGGACACTTTGATGCCTAAGTTAGATAGCGTTGACCAAACAAATAAACATAATTGTTAAGCCATATCTCTTCTGGATTTTTCTCCCAAACGAAAACTACATGCCTTTATATAGGCTAATATGCCACTCATTTCATCCAATGAGAATAAGTCATATGTATAGCCATATATATATCCATGTGAAATGGGTCCACCCAAATGGCATTAAAAAAAATAATAATAATAATTAATAAATGCAATTTTACAAATTGTCAAGTTGTTTTCATATATACATGCATTTGGATGAGTTTTTGAGGCTGAGATTAGCCATACATGTGGTTTATTCTCATTGGATGAAATGGGTAACATGTTTGCCTATATAAAGGCATGTAGTTTTCATTTGGAGGACGGATCAAGAAGAGGTATACCTTAACACTCCGTTTCGATTGTGAGATGAGAAGAGAGAAGAAAAGAAATGATAGGAGTTTCTCACCCAAGTGAGAAAAAAAATAAAATGATTGTGGTTTTTCACCTTCTTGTTTGGATGGACAATGACTAAAAGAGAATACATCTGTCTTTTTATTTTATTTGTTTTGTCTTTAGAGGGGTAGCTTAGGTATTATAAACTTTTTTATATAGAGCAATTTTGGTTTCTTACCAAATCTCACCACTTTTGGTGAGAAACAAAACTTAAGTTTGGTATGATTTGTCTCTCTCTTCATGTTTCTTTCTTTCTCACCGTTACTCGCCTTATTAATCATCCAAACAAGTGATGAGAAACCTTATTCTTTCCATTTGTTTTCTTTTCTCACCAAACCTCTCGGTCCAAACAGAGTGTAACTATTACATTTATTAGTTAATCATATTTATATACTAAACACTATCTAACTTAAGCATTAGAGTGCCCTCCAACCGGCAATCACCAATTGGGTCGCACTAATGGCTTGTTATTTGTAGATCCAAAAATCATGCAACTCATTCCTCCATTAATCTTTTGATTAATCAATGTGAGGCAAATATACCCTCCACAATTACGCTCTATCCCTACATTGTAGACATAAATCTCAATTATACAAGAAGTTATTTGGTGCTCCTAGGGCAATGCCCCCAGAAGCCACACGATCACGTGAGGCCATCCTTAAGTGCAGCGAACCCACGTGAACCTATGACTCTTGGGACTGTTCAGACGTCCCAAGAGCACCAAATAATTTTTCCACTTAACATGTCAACACTCACATGACTCAAATATCAAATTTCAAAGGTAGACAAGTGAGTATAGCTTAGCATATGGCACAACTAAAAGGGCAAATACCTCCAAATGAGGATGCTCCAATAGCAGGCTTTAAACAATCACAATTGAATTGCCTTAGCTCCTTTATGGCTGGGAGACAAGGAACCAATCTACCCAGCCTTTTCATGCCTCTTCCCATTCAAATTTACACCATATGGTAACTTTATATAGTTTCTTAGCATATGTTGACATTTGAATGAAAGTACCCATGAAAGTTAAATTCAGTATTTTGTTTATATCTCACACCACACATGGTTCTAATATTCTTTTCTCTTAAAGTATCACATGGCTCTAATTCCAAGTAATGTTGAAAGAAAAATCGGTGAAATCAAACCAGCCACTCAAGACCGACCAAAAATTGAAAACCAGAATTCTGGTTAGTTTTTCATGAGGTACGGTCTTATTTCAATTTATATTCAGATTTTGGAGCATCAAATGACTAATACTACACGAAACATTTATAGAACAACCACTCACTTCCTATTTATTTATTCCCAATGTGAGATTCTACATGATTCTATAAAACGCTTAAATATCACGTGAATGTCTCATTTAAACAACAACAACAACCACAAAACATATCATGTGGTTTCAGTTTCTCAACCAACACAGTGATTAATTTATATCATGTGAATGTCTCATTTAAACAATAACAACAACAACAACAAAAACATATCGTGTGGTTTTTTGTTTCTCAACCAACACAGTGATTAATGTTCAAACGTAAGAGAAACCACCGAAAAACAGAAATCATATGGTTTTATGTAATGAAAAATGTTCGAGATCCTTAAAAAAAACAAAAACATAGTTTGACCAAAAAAACATAATTTGACCCCGAAAAAAACCTAATTCTACCCCTAAAAAATCCCTAATTTGATCCATAATGATGTAGCATAGTAAATGTCAAACTTATATACTCAACCATGTAGGCCAAACTCCATTGCCACATTAGTGTGCGCGAATTTACACTAAGTTTGGATTGAGTGATTTGGAGAGAAAAAAAAAGAAATGGAGAGAAATACTTGTTTGGATAACTTAATTGAAGAGAAATAGGAAGAAATGGAGAGAAACGAAGAGAAACTCATTTCTCTTATAAGTCTCATTTTCAATCTTTCCAAAAGTAGAGAGATTGAGAGAGAAAAGAAATCATTATTTTTATAATACCAATTTTATCCTATAGAAATAAAACAAATAAAATGAGTGAAAATATAAAAAGATTATTTTGATAATATAACATAAAATAATTTCTTTTCTTTTCTCTAATGAAATCTAACCAAACACGAGAGAAATCACACTTATTTTTTTTCTTTTATTTTTTCCTTATCCAAACAAAAGGAGAAAAATCACAATCCTTTCTTCTCTTTTCTTTTCTCTGTAACTAATCATTTTTTTTCTTTTCTGTACTGAGTTCCCAAACATAGTGTTATGGGTCTAAAATTGTGTGCCTACATCATTTCTCCTCTATCTATGAATCTAACGTCCCTTGGAATTTACTCAGTTTACAAGAATTTTCCATGGATATATATATATATGTAGAGAGAGAGAGAGAAAGAGAGAGTACCAGGGAGGGTTTGAGGCCAGATCTGATGTGGAGACAGGCATGGGCAGTCCCGGTGTGGTTGTGGTAGTACTGGACATCCTGTGGGAGGGTACAGGGAAGGAGGTAGGACTCGAGACGTGACTCCATTGTTGATACAAGTTCCACCATCAGATCTCTGTGTGGGGCTGAGACGTAGGGGAAGTCCATGAATCTCTTGCTCGAACCTCCAATTTGTGGATCCATTTGAGGCGATGATGTGGAGAAGGAGATTTGAGGTGGTTTTGATGGAGGAAGAGGAGGACGAAGAGGGGAGAGAGAAAGAGGTGAAGTTGAGAAAGGGGACCGTAACGAGTGGCTGGAGAAGACGACGACACCCATACTTGGTTCACTGCACTCTTTTTGTTTTGTTTTGATATTTCTAGTGGATATATGCTGTGAATCTGGAATATGGCCTCGTTTGGCAATAATTTTAGGAGTTTGTTTGGAAAGTAATTTTTTCATTTTTTTTAATTATAAAATATGAGCTAAAAATTTGAGGATAAACTATGCATAGCTCACCACCCCCGGGATACTGGCCTAGTGGAGAACAGGCGTGACTTAGATTCGATTCGTTAGTGGTGTGAAATGGTAGGTAATTTCAATGGTTGAACATGGAGATCTCGCTTTATATTTTGATCGAATTTTGGGTTCGTTTGTGATGCATGGTTTAACTTTGTTGATATCTCGATTTCGGCTCATCTCAGGCTCGTCTGTGGCGTATAAATGAACTCCGTTAATATCTCGATTTGGGCTTATCTGTGACGTATGATTGAGCTCTACTAGTACCTTGGTGGTGGGTCACTTCCTATAGATTCGCTCTGTACTCTGATCAAATCTTGCTTGGGTCGTCTGTGGCGTATGGTTGAACTTCATTGATATCTCGGTTTGGGCGCATCTATGGCGTATGGTTGAGCTCCGCTGGTACCTCGGAGGTGGGTCCCTTCCTATAAGTTCGCTCTGTACTTTAATCAAATCTTGAGTTCATCTGTGCCGTATGGTTGAGCTCCGCTGATATCTTGATTTGGGCTCATATGTGACGTATGGTTAAATCAGGTTGGGTTACCCTTCGGTGGTGGGTCCCTTTCTATGAATTGGGTTAAATCAGGGTAGGTTACTTTAGGGCTTAGGCCTACGGATGTAGTGATGACACCACAAAGCATCCTTTTCTTTTTGATCCAAAAAAAAAAACTATGCATAGCTTTTTAATTCTTATCAAGTTCTATTGAAAATAAGATCTTATTTGGAGATTAAACATTTTGGTTAAAAAGCCAAAAAATTATAGGTGCTCACAGTTTGGTTTGTGGTTTGAACTTGTCTGCATAACTGCTTTGGAAAAAATTGAACCCATAACTGCCCATAGTGTGGGTTGCGATTTGTGCGGATAAAGTTTGCAGATGTATGGGTTGTTGCGGGCGTTTTGCGAATTGAACTTTTTTCTTTAAAAATTTATTTTTGAGTTTTTTTTTTCATTTTGTAAATATTTATTTTGAGCCATTTTCTCCCATTTTCTAAAATGCTCAATATTAATAATTAATGAATTAAAACTTATAAAATTTAAAACACAACAAAATCAATTTTCAACATAAGCAAATCATTTAAAATCCTAAACTTTTAAATAAAATCATAAACTAACAAAAGCAAATTTTTCAAAATTTTAAACTAAATCATTAAAATCATTCACTACTCAACAATACAATTAAAGTAAAATCATTCAAAATCCTAAACTTACCTAAAAGTACTTATTCATAAACTTTTACATTTATCCAAAATGTAATAATAAAATAACAATAAATTGTTGTCAAATTTCATCCAATTCACACCCATTAAATAAAATAAAAACATTTATAAACTCACAAACTCCATCATAAATAATTAAAAAAAGAAATTAAAAAAAAGAGTCTAACTACGGGCAGGTTCTTATGGGTGCAAGCAAAACCCACAACCTACAATAATGTCATATTCTAAACCGCATCTGTTCGCATTGTGTCTGCGAAACCGCCCATTTGTATGCGGATCGGTTCGTGTTTTGGCAGATTGTGCGGTTCGAATAACCCTATGCGCAGTCCTATAAAAAATCACTATAAGTTGTTGCATCACTCTCTATGTTTTTTTGCACATTATTTGTAAAAAACTAAAAAATTACTAAAATAACTTGTTCTCAAACGAGACCTAAATCCTAGTAAACGTTGTTAAAAATAAATTTTTTGAGCGATTTTTACATATGTCGTTAAAAATTGACAATTAGTAATTTTTTGTCATGTTTTTTTATAAATTGTCGCTAAAAATTACAATTAGTGATTTTTTCTATGACAAAATTTTCAAACTGTCGCTGAAAATTGAATTGAAATTTAGTGACTTTTTGTGACGATTTTTTTAAATTGTCGCTAAAACTAGTGACATTTTTTGTGACAAAAATTTTAAACTGTCGCTGAAAATTAACAATTAGTAACATTTTTTAATCGTGTTTAATGAAAAATGTAATTAATTCTCACAGAATCTATTAGACAATTAGCTCATTTGGCCAAGTTTGGGAAGACTAAAAAAGTGCACTTTTTGTCTTTTTGGACTAAAAAATTGAGGTTGAAAATATGGATGTTTGGGTTAACTTTTTGACTTTTTATTGAAAAATGTGTAATAAAAAAATGAAAAAATTGATTCGTAGGGACCTATTTAAATTAAAATCACTTTTCAAAATAAGCAAAATTCAAAATAGCCGTAATTGTTGACTTTTGGTGAATAGTGTTAACTTTTTAACTTTTTAAATAATTTTTTGACTTTTTAACTTTTTTTGAAGTCCCCAAACTTATACGTAAGTCTCTCAAAATTTAAAATGTTTGGGAATGATTTTTTAATTTTTTAAAAATATATACATACCAAAAAGAGAATGTGAGAATTGTTCACTTTTGCATGACTTTTTAACCTTTTTAATAGTTTTTTTTTAACTTTTTAATTATATTATTAATTTCCAAATGAATCCTAAGTTAGTTTTTTTTGTCATTTTAAAAAGGATATATTATACTCACTTTCCTTAAAATTTAAAAGAAAAAAATACAATTAGAATCATTGTGTGAAATTCAATAAATGTTTGATCAATGATATTTTTTTAAAATTTATTATACAGTCCTTTAAAAAATATAACATTATGTATTTTTCAATTAAAAATTAATATTTTTTAAGAACACATTGTCATATTTAATTAATTTTAATTCAAAATACAATCTAAAGGTATTCTACAAGAAAATGTTAACCATTAAAATTTATTTAATTGTTTTTTATGTAAGTTTGATTCAAGCTAATGAATTGAATATTTTAAAAATATTAATTATTGAATTATAATTTTTTAATTAAATATACTATAATTTAAAGATATTGTCAATACATATAATTAAGTAGACAAGATCACATTACGTGATAGAAATTGAATTGTGCTAAAAACTAACATTCTCCGTTAGAGTGAATATCTCAAAATATTGAATTTTAACACAACGACGTGCTTAAATATGACATTGTCACGATTCAAATTATGTAATCAGTTACGAATGGTCTTAATAGCTACTTTTTTTTATGATATGTTAAATTTTAGCAGTGATTTAGACTCCCTTAAACTTTAACCCCTATCACCCTACACACGTGGCGGGTAGTGATTGGAAGAAGAGAAAAAAAAGAAAAAAAAAAAAGGGGACCAATCAAAAAAGAAAGAGGGTCAAAAGGGGGTGGGGGAAAGGGGGTCCAATCTTTATTCTTTAAATTTTTTATTTAACAATAAAACAAGTGATTCCAAATGCGCCATCTTAAATTTCACTAATACTATGCCTATGCATCCAGAAAAGTATTCCAAAAATTACTTTGACACTAAAATACGTAGACAGAATTTATTATGCATGTGACACCCATTAGACTAAAAATAAATGAATTATATACTTTATTTTTAGTATACTTTTTGCCACTCATGTATTTTTGTATTATTCTTTTAGTTTTTTTTCCATGCCTACTGTGGGGATATATTTTCTAAATACCAACACGTGACTAAGGTGACGCCGACGTGTCCGCCGAGGTGCCACGTGTTCTGGACATGACGCCGAGGTTATCTCGGCGAGGCCGAGGTTACCTCCGAAGATATCGAAATCCGAGATAAGCGGATAAGGCACAAGAGTCCTAGAAAAGGGGAAGACTACAGTTGGGAAATGATAAGACTCTTAGGGAGTTTATCTCAATCCTACTAGAAGCCCAAGATTGATGGTAATCCTAAGTCCATTAGAGTTAGGCTCCTGTTGGGACAAGGATTGAGTTAGCTATAAAAGAGAGGCACTCCTGTAGGTGTAAGATACGCAATTTATATTCTGAGCAGTGAGATTAGCACTATTAATTATCTTTGAGAGATATACTGACTTGATCGTCGGAATGCCCCCGGGTGGACGAACCACTGCCGGAATCTTCTCTTTTTGTTACAGGTTATTCAGGTGTCATCTATTCTGCCAGTGTTCTCCAGCTGAATACTAAGTTAGGTAGTGTGATCGAAAAATCACTCACACACCTACCTTTTTTTTCTCTCTCTCTCTCTCTCTCTTATAATCTCACAAAAGTTAAAATTGAGAGAATTCTGTTTAGAGAAAAGATTGAGCGAGAGCCCTTCATTATACAAATTTGTTTTTCTTTTGTAGCACAAAGGACAAAGCTCATGCAATGCATCTAATTGACCAAGGTATCTTTTGTTTGATTTTTAAACTTTAAGACATTATAATTTTTTTTTAATGTAGATTCAGTTTTTGAAAATAGTTTTTTTTTTTTTAAATTATAAGCAAGATATCTATATATCTGTATATTATATAAGAAAAAAGGCGTTTCTAATCCACAAATTTTATGAGAGCTCCAATATCTCAATTTTAATTTTCTAATTTTTTAATTTAAAAAAAAAACTCTCAGCATTTATTGATTGCTTTCAACTCACAATTTTTTTTGACTTCTTTTATACTTACTGCTACACATTTTTCAACTTCTCCCATACACCATGGTTAGTGATATGATTGTTAAATTATTTTTATAAAAAATCTAAAAAAATAATTTGCATATTAGTGATGTGATTGTTAAATTATTATTATAAAAAATCTAAAAAAATAATTTGCATATTAAAAAATATCTAAAATAAATATAAATTCTTATTAAATCTATCTATCTATCTATATATTATATAAATAAATAAGGGTTTCTAACTACAAGTCTTGTGAGAGTTCTAATATCTCAAACTAAAATTTCTAATTTTTTGATTTTAAATAATTAAAAAAAAATCCTCTATAGGTCTCATTCAAGCAAATAAAATAATAATAATATCTCTTGATTTATGACTTTCATATGAAAAGTATATCAAATATATAAAATAAAAAATAGAAACTATACTTATCCATTTCAAG